TCATGTGTTTTACAATGGACTCAACGCCAGGTGGTGGTCTTTTGGGGTATCACAATTCCATCAGAACACATCTTTGGAAAAACATGTCTTTGTCACATGTGACTTATCCTTGTGATGGTATACAGCTTGAACTCATGACAAACTTACCTAAATGATCTCAACTCAGAGAGTAGAAACTGTCTGATGCTCTGAATAAAGTTGAATATTGCATGAGACTTTAGTCAGCCTCATCATTGGCTCCAATCTCCCAGGTCCACCTTTAGAGTAGTAAACACTCCCCAATTTGTTTTTAGTCATGGTGTTTTGTCTACAGCAATTTTAACCCTAACTAGGACAATTATACATGGATTCACACTGTTCATTCATTCTCTCCATTACTCCCTATATAAAAAGGGTTCAGTGGCTCATTTCTTCTCATGGTAAGACAGAGACACCCCAAGGAAGTCTTCCCAGCTGAGACCCAAATTGTGGGAAGCTCAACATGATCTTTCAATTGGACTTCAAGAGGTGAAAAGATAGAGTTAAGAATTAATTTTCACTATGTTAATCCTAGTAATCCATGAGCACAGAAGATCTTTCCATCTTCTGATATCTTCTTCAATTTCTTTCTTCAGAGACTTAAAAGTTTTTTTTCAAACAGGTCTTTCACTTGCTTGGTTAGAGTCACCCCAAGGTACTTTATGTTATTAGTGGCTATTGTGAAGGGTGTTGTTTCCCTGATTTCTTTCTCGGCCCTTTTGTCTTTGGCATATAGGAGGGCTTCTGATTTTTTTGAGCTGATTTTGTATCCAGCCAGTTTGCTGAAGGTGTTTATCAGCTGAAGGAATTCTCTGGTTGAATTTTTGAAGTTTTTCATGTATACTATAATATCTTCTGCGAATAGTGAAACTTTGATCTCTTCCTTTTTGATTTGTATCCCCTTTAAAAGATCATTCTGAGTGAGGTATCCAAGAAGGAGAAAGACAGACATGATATATACTCACTTATATAGACCTATAAGATATGATAAACATAATGAAATCTATACACCTAAAGAAGATAAACAAGAAAGAGGACCCGGGGTAAGATAATCAATCCTCACTTAGAAATACAAATGGGATGCACATTGGACATAGGAGAAAACAAGTAACAGGACAGGAGCCTACCACAGAGGGCCTCTGAAAGACTCCACCTAGCAGTGTATCAAAGCAGATACTAAGACTCATAACCAAACCTTCGGCAGAGTGCAGGGAATCATATGAAAGAAGGGGGAGTTAGTATGATGTGAAGAGGATAGGAGCTCCACAAGGACCAAATATATATGGGCACAGGGGTCTTTTCTGAGACTGTTTCTCGAACCAAGGACCATGTATGGATATAACCTAGAACCCCTGCTCAGATGTAGCCCATGGTAGCTCAGTAACCAAGGGGGTTTCCCTAGTAAGGGGAACAGGAACTATTTCTGACATGAACTCAATGGAAGGCTCTCTGACTTCCCCACCTACCAAGGGAGGAGCAGCCCTGCTACGCCACAGAGGAGGACTTTGCAGTCAGTCCTGAAGATATCTGATAAAACAGGATCAGATGGAAGGGGAGGAGGTTGTCCCCAATCAGTGGACTTGGAAACGGAAAGGGAGGAGATGAGGGAGGGAGGGTGGAATTGGGAAGGAAAGAGAGAGCAGGATACAGCTGGGATACAGAGTTAATAAAATGTAACTAATAGTAAAAATTTTAAAAATTAAAAAAAAAAAGAATTCCTAGTGTTGATGGCAGGAACACTCTACTCTGGGAGACATACTGTAGACCTTCCACGGTCAGAAGTAATAGTCTTCAAACTCTTTTTTTCTAAAATGTGATTTTAAAAAAATATTAACAAAAGATGCTACAAATTTAGCATATTCTTAGTGTTAAATATTTCACACTGGTTTGTAACAGAGCTCTGGGGTTTTCTTCATGTAGATGAATCAGTGTCTTGTGAGTGCCAGCTTCCCACCATCTGAATCTGCAGCACCAGAGCTACCATTTCCCCCCTGCATTTCTCTGACAAGCTTGGGTCATCAGTGGGATCACACACTTGTCTCTTTACCACTGCCTTATTTCAGTTGGCACACTGTCCTCAAGACTGGTCAGTGTTACAGTCTGTGACAGAATATCCTTCTTTAGCAGGCCAAAAAGCAAGGCACTGCATCTTTATACTACTTTTTTTTTTTAATCCAGTTGTCTATCAACAGTATCTGGGCTGCCCCCTGGTTTTTGCTATGTGAAAAACGCTGTTGTGACTAAGGACTCTTGAAATTTAAACATGAATTGTTCTTATTATTGAGATTTCAAGAGAATAAAACCTTAATTAATGATAAACTAGTAAGTCAGCATTCTTTACCAATGTCATCAAAATGATATTAAAATAAACACTTGCAAAGAGGTAGATCCTATAACATAACTTTAGATATAGGAGGTCAACAAACAGGTTTCCTACCTATAGATCATCTCATAGTCTTCAGTTTACGATGTACACTGGAAATCCCCAAGAGATCATTTAGTCTCGAGATTTACTAGTGCACGTAAATAAAATTAGTTTCTAGATCAGAGAGCAGCTTTAAAAACAGCAGACTTTTTTTCTTAACTACCTGAAATGTCAACGTTCTTAAAAACAATAATGCTGGGGCTGGAGAGATTGCTCCATGGTTAAGAGCACTGTCTGCCTTTCCAAAGGACCCAGGTTCAATTCCCAGCACCCACATGGGAGCTTACAACTGTCTGTAAGTAATTCCAGTTCCAAGGGATCTGACACTTTCATACTAATGTACATAAAAATAAAAAAATTAAATAAATTATTTTTAAAAAAAACACTGATGCTACTACAATAGCATAATGACCACATTAAAGATTTCTGGATTCACTCATTCACACCTATGCCATTGCAGAACTAAAAGGAGCTCATCTACTTTGCAGTGCCATTCTGCAAAGTTTTAAAAAATTACAACATAGGATAAACCCGCTAAAATCGGTACATCTAAATAAACTAAGCAAAAGAGAGGACCCTAACTAAAACGCTCACTCCCCATCCTGAAAGGCAAAGAGGATGGACATCAGAAGAAGAAAACAGGAAACAACCTAGGAACCTGCTACAGAGGGCCTCTGAAAGCCAGAAGAAGAAAACAGGAAACAACCTAGGAACCTGCCACAGAGGGCATCTGAAAGCCTCTGCCCTGCAGACTATCAAAACAAATGCTGAGCCTGATGGCCAACTGGCAGGCAGAGTGAATGGAATTTTATGTAAGAAGTGGGAAATAGCAAGAGCTGGAGAGGACAGGAACTCCACAAGGAGAGCAACAGAACAAGAAAATTTGAACACAGGGAACTTCCCAAAGACTCATACTCCAACCAAGGACTATTCATGGAGATAACCTAGAACCCCTGCACAGATGTAGCCCATGGCAGTTTAGTGTCCAAGTAGCTTACATAGTAATGGGAAGAGGGACTGCCTCTGACATAATCTGATTGGCCTGCTCTTTGATCACCTCCCCCTGAGGGGGAAGCAGCCTTACCAGGCCACAGAAGAAGACAATGCAGCCATTCTTGATGTGATCTGATAGACTAAGATTAGAAGGAAGGAGAGGAGGATCTCCCCTATCAGTGGACATGGGGAGGAGCGGGGAGGAGCATGCATGAAGAAAGGGGAGGTAGGGTGAGATCGGGAGGGGAGGAGGGAAGGGAGGGGAGGAGGGAGGGGCTTATGGGGGTATACAAAATTAATAAAGTGTAATTAATAATGATAAAAAAAAAAGAAAAAAAATGCACAAATCTGAAATTTAAATCCAGCTTCAGCAAACATCTGGTCTTCCCTCAGAATATCCATAAGAAAATATACCATAATGTTAGTGTAAGAGATTCATTATGATCATAATTCAAATACATCAGAAATTATAAAGAAAAAAATTCATTTTAGACTTAAGAAAAATAAAGCTTCTATCCAATGTCCCATTTAATCTGAAAATAATAAAACAGGCACTTATAATGATAGGCTCAAGCCACTAAGGTTAGATTAAATTAGTGGCTCTGGAGTTGGGGAGATGGCTCATGAGGTGAAGTTCTTTCTGTGCAAGGGTAAAGTCCTACGTTGGGATCACAGTACCCACTTAAAAGACTGAATATGGTGGTAAATGTCTATTACCCCAGTGCTAGGGGAGGGAGACACAAATATCCCAGGGGCTCAGCCTAGAAAACTGAAATAATAAGACCTCAACAATAAGACCGAGAGCAATAGAATAAAACACTCAGTGTCAGCCTCTGGCCTCCAAATGTGCGAACACAAGCAGATAAGCACACAAGCATATATATGCATATACATATATACCACAAATACAAAAAAATTAATGTCAATAAATGTAGTTCTTGACTAGGTAAAATCAGAATGTGTGGTACACAGCTCAGTGGGTAAATTGAGTCACAAGCATGAGGACCTGAGTTCAGATCCCCAGTACCCACATAAACCCCTGGCATGACAGGGTAGTCTTTAATGTCAACAAGGAAAAGACATCAGGTAGATCCCAAGAAACTCATTTCCCTGCTAGTCTACCTAACTGATGAGCTTCAGGTTCAGTGAGAAACACTGTCTCTCTCTCTCTCTCTCTCTCTCTCTCTCTCTCTCACACACACACACAGACACCTATAGAAGAGGACACCCAACATTGGCCCCCAGCCTCTGGCACATATGGACAAGTGAGCACATGTGCACACACATATAAACACACACACATAAACACATGCACACCTTACACAGATAAACAAGAATTATACATAGATAAATAAGAAAAATACACAGATAAGAGAATTATAATAGATAATTATTTATTTTAAGATTTTATGTCTATTTACATGTATGTGTTTAGGTGCGGTTCTAGGAACAAACAAAGGTTCTCTGGAAAAGCGATCTTTCCACTGAGTCATCTTCCCAATACCAAAGAACATAATTCTTAATCATGAAAACTGTAAAACCTATTATTAAACATGTAACTTACTGCTATAATTTGGTCTCCAATTTGGATTCTTCCATCATGTTCCACAGCACTGCTTTTTGTAATGCTTTTCACAAAGATTCCTGAAGGTTCTAAGATTAGAAATAAGTAATTTTTAACTATTTATAAAGCACACACAAAGAATAGCTATCTTCTACCTTCCAAATAAAATCCAAATTATGAATATGTATTTAGTAACAAGGCACACAGGCATCTAGTGGAAAGAGTAAGGCACTTGTTTTTTTTTATTTTTAATTTTTATTTTTAGTAAGGCAATTGTTTAGTCTGTCACAGGACAGTCACCTATACCAAATTATTTCTAAGAAAGCTGTCAACTCCTTTATTTAGCAACAGAAAACATATAATGATTGAATATCTCATAAGACAGATATTGGAGGCAACTGGAATGTTTAGAATATATTTAGGATTTAAAATTACCTAATTTTTTTTCTCCAATATAACCAGCAATGGTAATTCCTAATCCTTGAACATTTTTAGTGAGTTCCACATCAAATGTCTCACTTTCTTCACTTTTCTGAGTAGATGCATCAACCTAAAGTAGAATCAATAAAAAATTCTTTAGATAAATCAACATGTAAGAAAAACAAGTCAAATTGAAAAGTAAAAGACTCAATTCAAGAGTAATCTGGCCTAGGGCATAACCAACTTTACTATGGAATTGAGCCTTTACATCCTGAATATATAGACTGAGCATGGCGTTTTCATGCAGAAAAGAAAGCTGAACCTCTCCTTATCAAACAAACTTACTATATACATGGAATCATAAAGACTAAATAGTTTCTTATTAACCAAGTATTTTCAGACCTGGCTCATCTTCATTTCTAAAGGAGTTGGGATGTTTAAAGTTCAAAGAAGGCATGTTTTAAGTTGATATCAAAAAGTTAACATCTAGTATTGCCATTTAATCATTTTAATCATCACTTTCTGGACAACCACCTACCAAGAAGAGTAATGACCAGCTGCCACTTACTGAGCAGTTTGATTGTAATGCACTTCGCATGCCTTTATTTCCTACTCCTTATAACAATCTAGAATTCCCTACATCATTTTAAGCCAGTAAGCTAGGTCCAACTTGTGGAAGGCGGCATATAAATATTTCCAACAACAAACAACTAACATCTGGAGAGGTAGAACTCAAATCCCAACGGTGTGGTTGCAGGGTTCCTTTTTGTAATGATGAACAGTTTGTAAGACAGTACAACACAGAGACAGAGCCTCCAAAAGAGAGCTCCTATTGTTAACTACAATTTGTAGTTGATCCTAACACTGTGAATATGAGTGAATATCTCCTGCAGCCATGTTAAAAATAGGCTGGGGACTTACTATTGAAAGAAGTAAATGACACCAAGGAAGTTTTTTTCACATTTTCCTTTTATTTGTTTTGTAACTTAAAGCTATTCATGAAGAAAGTGTGCCTCTCTACACTGTCATCCCCCTGCTCTGGAATTGTGGTTGAAAAGGTATTTCTTGGTTCTAGTCTTCTCTAACAAGTATTTATAGTTATTATTAATTGTATGTTGGACCATAGGTAAGGACTCCCTAAATTAAGCAGAAATGAACTGGCACATGATGTTATCAGTAAGCCATTGGTCCTACACATTGGTGTGATGTCAGACTCTCCAGTCAACCCTAGAAAAAAATGAAGGCAATGGGCTTTAACAGGCATGCAGGATGGAGCTGATCATGAACATTTTCTGCTCTCTGTTAAAGTAAACAGTTATCTCACTGACAGTCCACCTAAATGAAGTATAATTTTACAAGTAAAGTTGGATTTATTTTTTTTCATTGCACATAATTATCTGTGCAAACTTAGCAAAAGTTTAAAGTTTCGATAATTACAAGAAAATGACAGGATGAAATCTGCTTCAATTGAAACAAATGTGTTTTCTATTTTTAATAAGTTATTCGAGTGCTATTTTAGAGGGTGGCAATTTGACTATCGAATGGTTTTAAACAGGGCACAAGCTTCAGAAATGATGATATGCAGAGAATAGACGCTGTCCCAAGCTTTCATTACATCAAGTAGTTTTGGTATTGCGTTCATTTATATATTGCTGAATAAAATGTTTTGTTTTCAACAAAAGAATGCCATCTAAACACTTCCATAAACAAGCTTGCTTTCTTCTTTCCCTCTGTAAAAAATAGCAACCAAATTCAGTCCTAAAAACAACAGAATCATGGAAATTTCAAGTGTTCTAATAAAGTTTAAAAGGCTTGTGGAAGAGGCTAGGTTATTAAAAAAAAGAACTTGCAACAACTGGTTAGAGCAATTTCAATAAAAGAAAACACAGATATTTTACATTCATGAGAAATGGATAAAGTACTGGCATGTGGTTGAAAATTTGTCTAAAAATGGGTAGGATTTGCTTCTAAAATATGGATTTACTTTATTTTAACCACTGTAGTTTTAGGACATTAAACCATTATACCAAATTGGAAATTTTGAAAATTTCCAATTTTTTTCATGTCAATAGGACAAAAATGGGACACTGAACCAATGAATTATGCTCCTATACCATGCCAAAGCACAGCTGCTGCTGTTTTAACCAAATATTTACAACAACCACCACGCATCACAAATCTAGTAATAGTCCATAGCTTGCTTAGCTTAAAACAGTGAAACAAAGAGGTTCTTACACCTCATTCATTCCTACCATACTGGCTTCTGTCACGCATAAGAAACTTCCTAAAGAAAAACTGTTGAAGGCCATGATTAGAATGATGGCCTGGTTTACAAAGGGGCTCCTAAGTAAAGCAAAGACAGACTTAAATATTTGAACAATACAACCCTAAAATTCCATATGTGCTTCAAAAGATGATCCTTACAAAAAGGGTGTTTACAGAAAAGTGTGAAATGATCACCTAAAATCTTTAAGCAAGTTATTCTCAACCAATGAAACATTAGCATCTCTACACATGCTTTTTCTTTTAATACTTACAGATGGGCATTAGCAAGTCTAACTTTTAAATAAATGTCCGAAAGCTATCTGCTTGGACTTTTTTCAGCTACTTACTCGCATCTCTGGTACAGAAGATGGGGAAGAAGAAAGGGTGATGGCCAAAGAGGAGGGTGCTGCAGACTCTTCTATAGCACCTCTAGCAATCATCAGCTTAACTCTATTTCCACACTGCCTAAGGACTTGTGCTACTTGTTCACTGCTCATGCCTGCCAGGTCAGTGTCACCAATCTTTAGAATGTGGTCTCCACTGCACAATCGCCCATGCTGAATTAAAAAAAAAAAAAAAAAAAAAAGATGTTGCATAAATACGATACTTCTATTGTAACTGCACTGAAAAAATTTAAATGATCTAAAGACAATAATAAAAATAACAATAATCTGACCTATGTCAATCATATGAAATAAATGTGTAATTGTATTATTACCTGTCTTCTGAATCATTGTAGCATTATTCAATGTTGTGAAAGCAAACGAAATTCACAGATAATTTCTTAAATTAATAGCTAGTTGTTGTTTTTTTTTTTCAGTTTGATTTGATTTGTAGTTAAGAATTCATAAGAAAAAAGATGACTGTGAATTTTGGTTTTGAGGAACAAAAAGAAAATGTCATTAAGCATAGATAAAGTATAAAGTCACTATGCAAACACAGCCCATATCAATTAGAATGTGATATGAAACACAAAAAAGCACTGGAATGCTCCTACCGTTTCTATCTGGCTATTTCAAATATAAATACCACAAAGAATGCATTTGCAGATAACATCCTAGTGAAAGGAAAATGCAGACAGATGAGAGATATGGACAGGATCAGAAAAACAAACAACAAACAAACAAAAACTCTGAAACGACAGACTGCTTGCTCTACACTGACCTGCACAACAGTTACTAGTGACATGTGGCTGAGGCACACCAGATGTGTGGTCAGTCCAACTAAGGAGTAATCGTGTCCATTTAATTTTAGTGGATTTTGAAGTGACGGTATTTCTATTTTCTGTGTCCTAAGGAAATCCATAGATGTCCTTCCTTTTCTCTTGAGCATCTGAAGCTCATTTGCTATTGCTAGGGGCTGGCCAGTACTTGAATGTCATGTGACTATTAATAGCACTATTGAAAGAGCTGCTGTTTAACTAGGGCTATAATTTATGAATATGAGAACATGTGATGAACTCAGATTCCAATGTTAAAGTTCAAATCCATGAATGAAAGAATAGCTTCATAATTCTATAAAGTTGAAATATTAAACAAAGATAAAAACCACATCAATTTCCACACACGAGAAATGGCAAGTTTCATAAACAACAACAACCCCACAAACTAAACAGAAAACAGGTTATCTCATGTATAAAGATGACACCAGCTATCCAGCACTAAAGGGAAAAGATGGTTGGTTTTACCTCAACAATTACTTTTTTCATAGTGTGTGTGTGTGTGTGTGTGTGTGTGTGTGTGTGTGTGTTTTAATACACAAAACATTTTACTATTATGGTGTGGGGAAGGACACAAGTTACAGTACACATGTGAAGGTCAGAGGTCAACTTTGTTTCCCTCCCTCTGTCTTCCAAAAACTGAACTCAGCTGGGCAGGCTCTCCTCTAGTCTTTCCCCTCTCTCCATTCTTCCCAGTACTCCCTTTTCTCCTTCCTCTACTCCTTCTCCTCCCCAGAAAAGGGGAGCTCCCTCTCCCCTATCAACCTTCTCTAGCACATCAAGTCACATCAGGAATGAGCATTTCTTCATCCCCTAATCCAGGCAAGGCAGCCCTACCAGGAGGAAGTGATCCAAAAGCAGGCAATAGAGTCCATGTTAGAAAGAGCACCCCCACCCTCTACTTGCACCCCATATGAAGACTAAGCATCCCATTGCCTACATATGTGCAGGGGGTACCTAGGTCCAGATCATGCATGCCCCTTAGTTGATGTCTCACTCTCTGAAAACTCCCATAGAACTAGGTTAGTTCTTCTTGGTCTTCTTGTGAGGTTCCTGTCCCCTCCAGGTCCTTTCATCTTTCCACCAACACTTCCACGGGACCCCCGGAGCTCCACTCCATGATTGGATGTGGGGAGAATGGAGGTGGGAGGGGAGAGGGCTGGGAACAAAAAGGGTAACTGAGCAGGGACATCTCTTGGTCAAGCTGGAGGCCTGCAACAGGGTAGGGTCCTGGGAGGTCATGGGTCTGACTCTAGCTGAGACTCCTAACAGGGGAAGACATGAAGACTGAAGTGACCACCTCTTAGCCAGGCAGATCTAGTGGAAGGAGGAGAACAAACAACCCACCAACAAAACCTTTGATCCAAAAATTACCCTGCCTATAAGAAGTTCAGGGATAAAGAGAGACCAAAGATTGAGGGAAAGTCCAACCAATGACCCAACCCATGGTAGAGAGACACAGCCTGTGACTCTAATAGCAATACTCTGGTATGCTTGCAAACAGGCACCTAACTTGACTGTCCACTGGGAGGCTCCAGCTAGCCCCAGGACAGATACTCTGACTTGTAGCTAAGCATGGGGTAGAGCTTCAGGGGTCCCGTTGTGTGGTTTTAACCAACTGTTAGGTTTACAAATATATAAGTATCAAATAAAGGGTAGATGTTTCTTTTCTATAGGGATTGGAATCATCAGCCTGGCTGAGTCTACAATTCTGTAGGGTCTTCAGTGCACTGCCTACAACTGTATTTAAGTAAGATCCATACCCACTTTCAAAGTATTCTCTTCTAAGTCTAAGCAAGTACTTGAAAGTCAATCTAATAAAAGTAAAGATTCTTAGTTGATAAAATTTCCCAATGAAACCACAGTTTGGGTGAACAGAAAAAAGAACTATCATTGTAGCTCACCTGGTCTGCTACTCCTCCAGGCAGAATGGTCTTGACTATCACACCAGTTGCTTTTCCTCCTATGATGCCAAATCCCAGACCGGATCCATCATTTACCAGTTCTATAGTTTCCACGTGCTGCCAGTGAATCTAAAATGAAAGATTTTTGATGAGTTGTTGTTTTGTTTTGTTTTGTTTTTTGAGTTAAATACTGAGTTCATATAGAATCATGAGTGCTAACCAGTCTGGCTTTTCCTTTTTTCAACAGCCTACTTCCACTCTTGATAACATCTTTCTTACAGTTATCAATACATCATTATAGTGACTGTATTTAACCTATAGAAACAAGCACTGGTTTTTTTAAAGATATTTGTAAAACTTCCTTGAAAAGAAGTTCCAACACAACAGCTACCCTAGATTAGTAAAGTCCTCTGGCTAATCATTCCTTGAGGCAGGATGCTAATTTGTATAAGTTTATACCATCACTGACTGCTAACTATAACCACATAATGAAAGTGGCACACACTTGCAATCCCATCACTCAGGAGGCACAGGCAGGCAGATCTCTGAGAGCTCAGGGCCAGACTGATCTACAAGAGTTTCAGGCCATCCATAGAGAGATCACACACAGGCATGCAAAAGAAGAAAGGGAAACGAAGGGAAGGAAAAAGAGAAAAGAAAGAGGAAAGAGAAAAAAGAGAGAAGTGAAGAAAAAAGGGAAGAGAAAAAAGAGAAAAGAAGAAAGGAAAGGAAAAAAGAAATGAAAAAAAGAAAGAGAAAGTGAAATAAAGCAAAATAACTTTTATCTACTTATAGGTAAAGTAAATTTTACTAAGAGACTCCATTTTTTATTACTGTTGTCAAAGAACCATGCAACGTAAAGACTATTTTTAAAATCTGAAATTTAATCATAGCTCAAAAATAAATATCCCAAGTAGGAATACATAACAAACATAATAGTAATAAAAAGTCCCTAAAAATTTAAAAGCAAGTAAACAAACCCAAGAGACTTATAAGGAAATGACAGGTATTGGAAAATGGGCACAGCTGCAAAGGGCCAGAAGTGGTGCATTCTATTCCTTGTTTACTCACGGGATTTGAATGGGCTGAAATTGTACTGGCCGCAGAGGGAGAGCGGGAAATTTGGGGGCTGGAGATCTGAGGCAAGGAGCCTCTGGTGATAACCAGCTGTACAGTGTCTTTGGCCTTCTGCAGGATACTGATGGCCTGCTGGTGTGTGATTGTCTGATCCAGGGCCTGGCCATTGATGGCTAGGATCTGGTCAGTCTCCTTCAGTCTGCCATCTCTAATGAGGAAGAAAATGAAGTAATGAAAGATATGAATGTTCTCAAGGCTATGACAGCACCTGTGGCCTGAAGAGTTCAGGTCACTTTAATCCTACTGTAGAACATACATATTTTACCTGAAACTTTTACCTGAAACTCTACTTTTACAAGTGCCATGATTTGGCTCCAGCACTTGTGGCAACTCCATTGAACCACTGTCAAAGGTCTCTTTTTCATCAACTGCTGACTAACCCTAGCACTCATTAACATACAGTCCTTTATTAAATGAAAACACATATTTCTTTCTGCTCTGAGTATATTAACACACAATTCAAACAATAATGGGGTAGTTCGGGTGATTTTTATTCAACATGAGCTCCAGTATACTCACAGGTTTCTTTCTGTACTAAATTGCAATTAGTTTATGGCTATTTAAAAGCTACTCTCTATTTTATGTGTGTATAAGCATGCACATGGCTGCTTGTGCACCTGTGTAGGGAGAACACATGTTGACAATGAATGTCTTCCTCTATTGTTCTGCACCTCACTTTTGAGACAATCTCTCAGAGAGTGCAAAGGCCATCTTCACTGGTGGGCCAGCAAACACTGGCTTGTGCCTATCTCTGCTATCTCAGTGCTGGGTTGGAGATATGTGCCTCCTCATCTGGCTTTTTTTTTTTTTTTTATGAGAGAATGTATTGAGAGTCCAAATTTAGGTCCTCACACTTGCACAGCAAGAACTTCAGCTGCCTCAGCCACCTTGTGACTCACTTTAATAGACTTGCCTTATAATCCCCAAATATTAACACCTTCTAAAATTGGTTAATATCGGATCAATTCAGCTTTTTGTTTGCATTCATTTCTTCCTCTAGTGATCAAAACCCTTCTGATTGTTAACATCAAGAACAAAAAAAGTTGTTTTGACAATCTCACCTGTGGGCCACACTGCCCTCTTGAATCTCCTGTACAAATATCCCCAGCTCTCCCCTGTTTTCACTTCTGAGCCCAACAACACTAAACCCAAGGCCTCCACATGGAGGCTTGAGCAGCTCAAATACTTCCACATGGCGACCCTATTCAGGAAACAAAACAGGAAGTAAAATTAAGACCCAATTACTAGCTGGTGGCAATGGTGCATCTTTTTAGTCTCAGCTCTTGGGACAAAGACAGGATGATAAAGAGTTGTATGCAAGCCTGGGCTGTAGAGGGAAAGAAGCCGAGCCCAGATTCCATAGCAAAATCAAAATTAAACTAAAAAAAAAAAAAAAAAAAAAAAAACCTCAAATCAAACTAAAACAAACAACAAACATCATATAACAGTCATCTTGAGGGGTATTACTCTGTGTATCAAAAAGAAGGAACTAGAAAAAGATCAGTTTAGCACTCATCACCTAGAATAGAACATCTCATTTTTCCAGAAGAGTATTTCTGGATTGTGGCATAAAATACTCAATTTAAAATGTGATCATTTTCCCAAATGATCAGCCTTGAAAACATAAACATGCAAATGACATTATACAGACTAAGCAGGTTGTATTTATGTATTTAGAAACAAACACACACAGTTCAAGCTAACTGGAAGCAGTGTAGACGGTCAATCCTAACCATAAATTTATGAGGAATGCAACTTTTTATCTGCAATTATGTGTCAGATTCATCAGCGTTTTGTCCAGATCATCTGGCCCCTAGAGGTCAGTCTCTCACTCTCTTAGCTCCAGATATGTTGACTTTACTGTACCTCACTCAACTGAAGTGCTCACACTAGGAGTTAGGTAAAAAAAAAAAAAAAATCCACATTTACACCTTTATTTCATTAGTATCTACTCAACATATATGTGTGGGTGTGGGTGTCTGTTGTGTGTGTGTAATTAATAAAAAAGAAGAAAAGACACCATGAATTTGAAAGGGTTTGGCAGGAGGAAAGGAAGGTGAAATTGATGTACTATAATCTCAAAAAAATAAATAAAATAAAATGTAATAGAAAAATCTGAATCGCACAAATTTCCATAAAATTCTATTTTCATTCCAAAATTATTCAGGTATATAAATGCTATTGCATTTTTAAATGGATTACTTGGTTTTTGGTGTTTAACTTATTGAGTTCTTTATATATTCTGTCAGATATAGGGTTGGCTTTATATTGAGGTCTCTGATCTACTCCGACTTTACTTTTGTGCAAGGTGCTAAACATGAATCTATTTACATTTTTCTACATATAGATATCCATGTTAGACCAGCACCAGTTGTTGAAGACGCGGTCTCTTTTCCATTGTATGGTTTTGGCTTCTTTGTAAAAAATCAAGTATCCATAGGTGTATGGGTTTATTTCTGGATCTTCTATTCGATTCCACTGATTGGCCAGTCTACTTCTATGCCAGTACCATAGTGTTTTTATTACTGTTGCTCTATAGTATCTAGACCCCTTGCTCAGATGTAGCCCATATGCAACTCAGTCTCCATGGGGTTCCTTAGTAAGGGGAGCAGGGGCTGTCTCTAGCATGAACTTGGTTGCCTGCTCTTTGACCACCTCACCATGGTGAGGTGTCCTTATTAGGCCACAAAGAAAGAGAATCCAGATAGTCCTGATGAGACCTGATAGGCCAAAATCAGAGAGTAAGGGAGGAGAACCTCCCCTATCAGTGGACTAGGGGAGGGACATAAGAGGGGGAAGAAGGAGGAAGGATGGGAACAGGGGGAGATGAGGAAGGGGGCTACAGCTTGGATACAAAGTAAATAAATTGTAATAAAGAATAATAATAGTAATAATAAAAATAATGAAAAATTAAAATTTAAAAATAAATAAATGCTACTTCATTCCTTCAATTTTCCTGGAATCAGACACCTTCTTAAAAACATCCAGTGCTGCTCCTTGGTATATACCCAAAATTTGCTCAAGTACACAACAAGGACATTTGTTCAACCATGTTTGTAGCAGCTTTATTTGTAATAGCCAGAACCTGGAAACAACCCAGATGTCCATCAACGGAGGAATGGATACAGAAATTGTGGTATTTTTACACAATGGAATACTACTCAGCAATCAAAAAGGAGGAAATCATGAAATTTGCAGGCAAATGGTGGGATCTAGAAAAGATCATTCTGAGTGAAGTATCCCAGAAGGAGAAAGACAAACATGGTATACACTTGCTTATATAGACCTACAAGATATGATAAACATAATGAAATCTACACACCTAAAGAAGATAATCAAGAAAGCAGACACTGGCAAAGATGATCAATCCTCATTTAGAAAGACAAATGGGATGTGTATTGAACATATGACAGGAGTCTACCGAAGAAGGCATCTGAAAGACTCTACCTAGCAGTGTTTCAAAGCAGACACTAAGACTCATAACCAAACCCTCGGCAGAGTGCAGGGAATCATATGAAAGAAGGGGAGTTAGTATGATATGGAAAGGATAGGAGCTCTAAAAGGACCAAATATATCCGGGCACAGGGTCTTTTCTGAGACTGACACTCAACCAAGAACCATCTATGGATATAACCTAGAACTTCTGCTCAGATGTGGCCCGTGGTAGCTCAGTAAGCAAGTAGTTTCCCAAAGTAAAGGGAACAAGGGCTATTTCTAACAGGATCTGAAGGGCAGGCTCTTTGACCTCCCCCCACCAGGGGGGGAGCAGTCCTGTTAGGCCACAGAGGAGGACTTTGCAGCCAGCCCTGAAGATGCCTGATAAAACAAGGTCAAATGAAAGGGGAGGAGGTCCTCCCCTATCAGTGGACTTGGAAAGGGGCAGGGAGGAGACCAGGGAGGGAGTGTGGGGTTTGGGAGGGAATGAGGGAGCTGGATACAGCTGGGACACAGAGTTAACAAAATGTAACTAATAAGAAAAATAAAATAAAAAAAAAAACTATTTCTAAAGAAAAAAAAAAGAAAAGAAAAAACAAAAAACATCCAGTGCTGATTCACAAGAAGAAACACTCCTACCTGGGCCATGTTTTTGATGAGCTGATCAAGTTCATCACAAGCAGGCTTCCCATCCATGACAGGTGGTCCAGAAATTGCTTCCAAGTTCCCATTATTTGGAGACAGCAAAAGTGCTTCACTTTGCAGATTAGCAGAGCTGAGCTGAGGTGTGTGGGCATGGTCAGCATTTGTAGTTGCCAAAGTAGCAATGCTTACCTAGGAGGACGCAGAGCTTATTAGTGACGAATCTAGTGCACTTAAGTCATCTGCTGTCGTTCTGCACTGGTGTGGGGGGACGTGAGGATGGCCTTGCAACCATTGTTCTCTTAAATTCTGGGTTAATGATTCTCAAACAAAGCCTGGCAATCTGACCAACCCCTGCTACCACAGGAACAACAACACCAAAAAAGATTATTTCATTTGGCAAAACAGAACATCACAATGGCTATTACATGCTCCAAATAAAGATACCTGAAAGCAGTGTATACCTGAATTCAGTCTTAACTGTGGAAAGTAGACACTCAATCCTTACTGTGCAGAGTCAGTCCTAACTAAACACTTCTACAAAGTATCAAGAACACAAAATTTGTCTACAGTTATGTGTCAGAAAGATTCATCAGTGTTCTGTTCAGAACAGATGTGTCCCTGTTCCTCACTACCAAGGACCATGCATGGCCTGGACCTAGATCCCCTAGATGTAGCAGATGGACACCTCAGGCTTCATGTGGGTCCTCTAGTAAGGGAAGCAGGGGCTGTTTCTGACACGGACACTGTTGCCTGCTTTTTGATCACTTCCCCCTGGTGGGGCTGCCTCACCAGGGAGAAGAGGCATGCCCTCAGTACTGATGCTACTTGATGTGCTGGGGTGAGTTGGTGGGTGGGTGGGCCCCCTTTTCTGAGGAGTAAGGAAGGGGGTATAGGGAGAAGAGGAAGGGTGGGACCGGTAGGAGAGAAGGGACAGGGCTATGATCAGGATAAAAACGAATAAAGTAATTAATTTTTTAAAAGTTTGTTACTCATCCTGAAAAATAAAGCAGGAACCTTATCGAGTTACCAAAGTTACCAAAATTTTACCATTATATTTTCTACCTCTAGTCACTCATGAAAAAGAGGAAGGAAGCTTCTGGGAAGTCTTTCAAATGCCTATTTTCAAATCTGCAGCAGGCATGATCAGTTATTATTTTTTAAAAGCAAGCTTCTTTTGCCAAGAGTAGGGTTTTTTTGTTTTGTTTGGTTTTTTTTTTGGTTTTTTTTTTTTTCTTTTATCCCCCACCATGGCAACTTCAGCAAAGTCTGCCGGAAGAAGACACACTGCTCAGGTTGAAGCAGATGGCATAATAAAATTTGTGACAGGCTGAAGATCCCACACACCAGGACCTATGGTATGTTTGCATATTGAATAATGTTTGGACTTCAGCTACAGTAAGCCAGAGTGAACAAACCCCGTTCCAGGAATAGATGGTCTTTCTATAAGAAATTAATCACCGAAGTACAAGCTCTGACATTATGGAGGACCAGGGCCAAGGGTACTGCAAGAGTAAAATCACTGGAGTGCAAGCATCACTACAATGTCAAGATCATTCGTTAACGGTCCAATGGGTGTTGCTGACTTCCCTGGACTCTCGTCTGCTCCTGAGGTTTCATACAAGTGGAGTGCCACATATACTTTCTTAAAACAGCCCATGTATTTTAAAACTGTCATTTAATTATACCACCAAAAGACTTGTTTTTAAGTGTGGCGTTTTATATTCGTAGGCACATTTTGATTTGGTTTCAACTACTAATGTAAATGGTTTTCTAACCCAGGCATTGGTGCACGCCTGCACTCAGACCCAGCTCTCGGGAGGCTGAGGCAGGAAGATCTCAAGGTTGAGACCAGCCTAGGGTAGCAAGAATGTCCATGTCCAAAAAAATAGCATAAAGTTAAAATAAAGATCTTTTCTGTTACATAATTCAAGTCACGGGAATTAACCTTACTTGTTAACTCCTGGCATGTTATTTGAGTCTCAAAAGAGCTTCTCTGTGCCCAATAAACAAACACATATTAATTGAAGAACTTCAGTTAATGCTGCTACCTTAAATAAGACTTAAATGAAGATTGTGTAGACTTTAATTGAAAATTTTGCCAACTGTACGTGCCCGGACAGGATCTAGCATGGTTCTAGTCATTAGAAGTATGAGAATCCTTCTTACAAGACATTCTAAATCACTACAGATCTTTCCTCAGTTTTAAACTTTCATCAAATATAACCAATCCACCATAATTAATTTATTCAGAAGAATTTTAGGTTTCCATAGAAAAAAGTTTACATCACACATGTAATATAACTTCATAAAATTATAAAATAAACATAAGTGGCAGACTGTCAAAACATGGTCCAAACATGGAGTACTGTCAGGAGAATTCTGAATGCTTTTGAGAAAATGCCAAGAAAACAAGGTAAGTATTGTGACCTCAGTTCTTTCAAAACACAGAATTATTCCTGGAAGTATTATTTGTGTTCCTTTCAGGTATAGTAGATAGGAGTGAGTTCACTTCAGATTATTCATTACAACTGGCTATTCCTATCTGTTTATATGCCTATATAGAAAAAAAGGACATGGTTTTGCCACATATAGATTGTCCTTGTGATTGTACACACTACTCAGGTGACTTTTCTTAACCCTCAGAGTACAAACTGTCTGATGCCCTGAATAAAATTGGTCATTGCATGAGACTTTAGTCTCCCAGGCCCCACTGCCTCCAGAGCAGTAACAGCAGATAGCTTTAAAAATATATTTAAACAAATCTACACGTAGCTGATAAGAGCCAAAGATGTACACAAACTAGCACAACTGGGCAGCTGAAGTACTGTGGCTGCCATAGCTCAACCTGCTTTACAGAATAATTGGGCACCATCTATATCTAGTACGTCACTCAGATGTAGCTGTCCTGGGGATCTACCATACAGCAGGATCCCAAGAAACCAAGAACTCACTTTAGCTCAAAATGCAATTAAGCTTACCTTCTGGGAATGCTTACATGAGAGATCCCCTTATCAAACTAAACAACTAGAAGGCAAAATATAGTATAAGAAAAGAAATGAGGAAGTCTAGCATGCTTGGCCATTGAGAAACAGAGCAGTAGTTATAGGCCACACTGAAGAAGAGGGGCATATATAAAAGCCAAGACCACTGCCATCCATCTCCTTTAGAGAATCCTGACTACAGCACATCACAGTGACACAGCTCACATCGTAAGCAGAGAAAATCTGAAAAGCCATGAGAACAAAGCCTCACCTTGTCATGAAAGAAGAAAAAAATCCCTTCTCAAGGAAAATAAGGCCACAAGTGAGACGAGTAACGATAAACCAAGATATAAACCAGAGGAGACGGCGTATGCCGAAATAGACAGACCAGAAGACCATGATTCAAGGGCCTCTGTCTTCACATAAATAAGTAAATTATATATATATAATTTATATATATATATATAAATTTCTAAGATATATATATATATATATATATATATATATATATATACACATAGATATACCTTAGAAACTGGGAATAAATTCCTATTGTCTTCACAACACAGGTATAGAAACATACGTTAACTTAGATTTCAAGAAAAAAAAAATACCAGAGTAAATTTGGGTGCAGAAAGAGCCTAATCTTAGATGGAAGGTCCATAATTAAAGAATATAAAAAACGGTTTAAAATGTTAGTGAATCAATATCAATTACTGAAAACACTGGATCTTATGAAGCTGTGGACTCTGGAAGATCTATGAGATCCAGTGCATGCAGCTACACAAAGGACAGCAATGGGATAAACTGCACAGAAGGGTTTTAAGTTCTTCACGTCTTCCATGTGGTAACAGCGTTGACTGAATGAAGTGAATCAGTGACACTTACATCTGACAGGACAAGAGGCCAGTATGCAAAATATATCAGAAGACTCAGAAGTCATTTAAAAATGAGAGAAACCAGAAACATTTCACTAAATAGGATACAGGACTGGAAAATAGGCACAAAAACATGTTGAGCTTCATGAGGAAGAATCTATTAAAAGCATACAAATTACCATTTTATATCTCCTGAAATAGTGAGGATGTAGAAAAAGCATAAATACATTCTTACTGGCAAATAAATTGGTAGTTTTTGGGAAAAAATATGCATGAATTAGCCATGCAACCTCCTGAGCATTATTTAGTAACAAAATCCTAGGCTGAAAACTAGACATGATAGTACCTGTCAGTGATACAGAGGGCTGAGGTAAGAGGATTGTGAATTCAAGAACAGCCGATGACATAAAGTGGAAATCTGCTTCAACAACAAAAACACAACAACTTCAATCTATATTGACAAAAAACTTTACATAACTGTTCACAGTAGCAACTTTATCTGTAATAGTAATAATACTGGAAACAAATAAAGCTCCCTTCAAAAGATACATCCAAACCATAGGTCAGTACCTAGTAATAAAAAGGAACAAAATATTAATACAATTGGATTAATTTCAAGAGTATTATACTATGTAGAAACATAGGCTCAAAATGTTCTATCTTTATGAAATGATTACTTATTTAAAAAAAACTAAAATCTACCAGATTTATTAATCTAATAAACACAGTAGCTTACTTGATAAAATGTAACAGTAGTCTTAATATACACCAACAATGTACTCCCATAAAAATAACACAAAAATTTAACTATTTTGAAACTGATCTTACCAAAGAGAAAGACCCCTATAACAAAAACTTCATGACAATGAAAAGAGAAATTAGAGACAATACCAGATATGGAAACATATTCAATGCTCCTTGATTGACAGATTATTAGAACGACTACTATCAAAATTTATCTACAGCTTTAATTCAATAGCTACCATAATTCCTATTCATATTTTACAGATTTAGAAAAAACAATTCACAAAATTAGATAAAATGACAATTGACCACACCAAAAAAAAAAAAAAAAAATCTAAGGAATAAGAATACTGCAACACATTTCCCAACACCCATCCTCAAAATATAGTACAGAGCTATAGTGATAAAGGCAGATGATGCTGGGAGAAAAGCAGATGAGTAAACAACAGAATAGACCAGAGGACCTGGAAATAAGACACAAAGCTAAAGCTACTTAATTTTTGACAAAGTGGGCTAAACACATGTTGTGATTAAAAGATAGCCTATTCAACAAATGGTGCTGGCAAAACTGGATATCACCTTATAG